TAACTTATACTCCTATTCTGGGGAGCTTCGGGCTCCCCAGAGCCTCACTACCTTTGTATGCATTATCTCTTTAACTTACTATGCATTAATAAATATGTATATAGGACGCGGGGTCGTACACACCCACATACACTCCTACAAACGGGGCACACACTAGCCTAATAAGCTACCAGTTAAGGTCGCGATAATTTTACCAGTTCCTCAATCTTTACCTCCTCCATCTCTTCCAGTTCCCATCAGATTAACTAATGAGTGGATGAGGAAAAATACTTTGACATGTACCAGTAAAGCTGGCTGGGGTAATTAATACAAGTGAGCCTAGTAAAACTGTGCGCTACGTATAGGTAATTATCGATAAGACCAAAAATTCCATTATTTGCGATTTTAACACATATTTAGTGATTTCATCCAATGTATCTGTCCAAAATAATAAACTTCGCGCTCAAAAAAAAACCAATCGTACTGAATAACTGAGGAATTCACCGAATTCTAATGAAATGGCCATCACTGTCTGGGAGATCTCACATACCTTGGATGAGTACATTCCTTCCGAAAATAAGCGATACAGTTGACAGAATGAGGCATTTCCACGACGTAGCACCAATCGTGGATCCGAATGAGAGATTAGCTGAATATCCAAAAGTTGAAAGAGTACTTCCAGAACACGACGCTCATCCTCCGGAAATACTGCACATCCATAGACCAAGCTATAAATACAGGGCACCAACTCGGCAAACGGCGATTCGTTGCCCTAAAATTTAAAAGGCGCATGTAAGCACAACAAGGAAATTTTAGAACAACGAAATGAAGAATGAAGGAAACAATCAAATTTTTGCCACTACTGGTGCTGTTTTTTCTGACAGATGCTTCCCGCTGGAAAAATTAAGACTGACTCAGAAAACATCCCCTTAAAATTTCAGCTTTCTAGCTTTTTTGCTCGCTGATGTGGAGGAAGGGTCACCTATGAAATTAAGTGTACACGAATGGCTCAAAAACAATAAAAATGGAGAAAAAAACTGCAAGCTTCTTAAGTCAACTTATAAGCTATATGAGAATGAAAACCTATCACACCGCAAGAAGTTCCTGCAACAAAAAAAAAAACCATTGTCTTCCTAGAAGAAGCCATGCCAATTTACCATCAAAACGAATCGTAGAAGATTAAATTTTTATCCGATGATTCTAGTCGCTAATTGATACCGCACAATGTTAGTCAAAATATAACTGAAATAAAAATACCGATGGATTATTATACCTTGGAAATTTGATCGATATTGTGCAATATTTCGGCAACTAAAGTGGGCGAATTGAGCAATAAGTTTAAAAGTTCGGTAACACTGCTGTAATGCTGTCCATCAATGCGACGATAGCCAGCAACGAATCGAGTACCATCGAGTTGCGCAATCAACATGCAGCAATTTTCGGGTCGAACATCCGGATGTGAATTGATAAGACGTGATAGAACTGTCTGAATCACAGATTATAATTTTTATAACAATCTTCCCCTTCTCCGCTTAAGATATTTTGAAATTGTATCTGCACATCGACTTTCCAATTCTATTTCAATTCACAAAAATCTTGCTTCACTGCAGAAAGGAGGCATATAAAACGAAAAATAATTGGTCTGCACACGGACTGCTTGTGCGAGGATGCGTTTTTCGCACAGTTCATCAAAGGTTTTTGTTGCGGCACTGTTTTTTCCGCCAGATGTTTCTAGCTAAAAGAATTGAGACTGACCACCACGACTGTGAGAAAAACACTCTTTTAAAGTTTCAGCTTTCTAGTTTTTCATGTTTCCGAGTTAACGACTTACCCGCAAAAAACTTTCAAGGGCCCGAACGTGAGAATCACGCGGGAGAGAGCATCCATTCTGCGTATGGGGGACCGTAAATGTATTTAGATCAATTTTCCAAAGTTTCAGCTTTATAACTTTTGTAGGTCTTGAGATGGAAAACCGGTAGAGACGAACAAACAAACAACTCCTCGATAATAAGCGTTTTTGCATAGATGCAAAGAACGCACAAAAACGACCAGGAAAGTCTCATGCACTGCATTTTCTCTCCATTCTT